CCATGGACGGAACTCAAAGCTTAGTGTTATTACAAATGTTCCTAAAATGTTAGTAGTAGTACGACACATTTTACAAGTGTTGCCTTCTACGATAGCCTTTGGATAATGTTGTATGCAGTTAATTATTATTAACATTTAATTACTTTGTTGTGTAAAAAACATATTTGGCCTCTTTTTACAGCGCATGGACCGCCCCTTCCCTTCTGGCGGAACTCAAAGCTTAGTGTTATTACAAATGTTCCTAAAATGTTAGTAGTAGTACGACACATTTTACAAGTGTTGCCTTCTACGATAGCCTTTGGATAATGTTGTATGCAGTTAATTATTATTAACATTTAATTACTTTGTTGTGTAAAAAACATATTTGGCCTCTTTTTACAGCGCATGGACCGCCCCTTCCCTTCTGGGTTGGCCCGTGGGCACTTCTGAAATTGGAGAAATGGCTCCTCTTCAAAAATTATTGCCCACCCCTGGTGTAGGCACAACAGCTGGGGAGACAAGGAGGTTGCTGCTATTTTTTTAGAAACAAAACACCCTGTTTTAAAGGAGTCTTAGGGGGATCCTGACAGTAGCAATGACAGGCAGATTATGCACTTGTCTTAGTGACACTTGTTTTCAAATATCTAGATGAAAACGTATCTTACGTTATCTGAGACCAAGTCTAGGGGTGAAATTGTGACTCCAACGAAGTCAACAGCAAAACTCATTGACGTCAGCAGGGCCAGTATTTCATCCAAGGACGTGAAGGGTGGGGATTGCACAGTACAGGCGTGTCTGCATCCCAAACTGCTGGCCGGTCACTATTTTCTCTTAACAGGTTTTTAGACCATGTTCTTCCTTGCGGTGTGTGAGCACATCCTGTGTCGTATTTGACATGATTTAAACTAGGGATGTTAAATTTAGATTAATTGGCTAATCGAATAGTCGATGCAATTTGCATCGACTGTTCAATTAGTCCAGTGGTCCCCAACCTTTGTGTGGCCAATAGCACATTCATGTTTTCAGGAGAGTGTGGCGGGCACCAACAAAAAAGGCGTCAATGTGAAATTGAAGGTTATTTTCATGTTAAATGTGAATTGGGTAAATTTGATAGAAACTTAATTTAGTTGGATAATTTTTATTTTAATTATATTGCAATTCATTTTTAAACAAAATTCTGCATTAATAAAAAGGAGGGATGTCCAAATGTTGAGCAAAAAAAGCACCCCCCCCCCAAAAAAAAACATGCCCCTTTAAATTTCACACAAATTTCCACATGGCAGGGGAAGAACGTCCCAAGTGGTTTCCAGCTGAGAAACTGAAAATACCAGACATTTTACTGGGGGGGTGTCAGGCCAGGGGTTTGGATTGCCCCTCAGGGCAGGGGTTTGGGGTGCAGGGTCTGGGAGGAGAGTTCTGTGGGTGAAGCTATCGGAGTGGGAGTAGCTGGGGGGCCGGACACTTACCAGCGAGACGCGCTGCTCTCCTGTTTCTCCCACAGGAGCTGCCTGGCCCTGTGCTTGGGGATTGGTGGGTTCCCACAGCTGCCCCTGTCCAGGTCCGGCCAATGGGCTTGTGCGGGGGGGCAGAAGCGGCCATGAGGGACCCTGCCACAAAGGGCCCCGCCGCGGCTGTTTTGCGTGGGGGAGGAAGGGGGGCTGTTGCTGCCTCGCAGCCGGACCCGACCAGCGTGGGGTTTGCGCCGGCTACCGAAGCGCCTGCGCGGGCTGCCTGCTGCGGTGGGGGCGGGGCTCAAGCCTCTACGGGCCCCAGGCTGCCGACCCCGCTCTAAGCCGGGGCGAATGTGAGTAGTTTTAAAACGCCGGCGCGGGCGCACATACATTCTCCCGCGGGTGCCGTGTTGGGGACCACGGAACTAGTCGATAAGGGCAAATCTGCCTTTGAAGTGTAGCAACAGCCCTGAGGTCATTGCTACGTTTCAACGGTGAAAGCTCTGTGGGGAGCACTGGGGCAGCGGGGGACTCAAGCAGCCCCCCACTGGCTCCATGCTCCCTGTGCCCTTTCAAAGTGGCAGCGCCCAGTCCCCTCCTCCTCTGCCTCTTTGTGATCGAAGCAGCAGAGGGGGGAGTGACTAGTGTGTCGACTATCCAGTAAGCTTTTGGAGAGACGAGTAGTCATTGTAGACTGCGTGGGTAACATTGTCAGCTCCATCCCTTTGTCTTTGTGCAGCCTTTCTGAAGAAATACTGAGCTAAAGCGTTCATCGGTGGGGAGGGGGTGACCTCATTTTCTTATTTGGAGTCTCTTTTTAGGTAATTCTTCTAAGAACTGTGTGTGTGTTGCCATAATGTATAAAAGATTAAAATGTGTCTTTTTTTCTTAGATTGTAGAAGAGACATGGACTCCATAGACATGAAGGGAAAGAAACAGTGACATTTGATAAATGGAAGCCATGAAGATATCAAAGCCATTCTATGGCTTGGGGATTTTTGCATGTGTAGCTATTTATGTAGTTTATATAAAATGGCATTTGGACTCCAAACCAGTCTCCAGTGTAACAGATGGTACTACTGACAGTAGGAGAGAAAAACTAGACCATGAGAAATTGACAACTGATCACACAGAGTTTTATGGAATTATGTTTGATGCTGGAAGCACTGGAACTAGAATACATATTTTTAAATTTACACAGAAATCAAAAGGTATGACAAGCTATTTAACCGTTTTATTGTTTTCCCTCCAGATACTCTTAAGAAATGAGTTAAATCTTAGTTTCTTAGACCCATTGTATTTTAAAACTGATTTGTTCATCTCAGCCTTGGCTTGGTGATAATCATAATTAGACTGATTAGCTGTGCTTGCAGACCTCGTATCATTGTAATAGCTGAGTTCTTCATAAACAGTTCCTCTAGCTTCAGAATGCTGCTCTGGGGGGGGGGGGGGGGGGGGGGTATACGGGGAATCTGTGCAGGGCAGAGCTCCTATGTCCCAGTCCTGTGACTTAGCCACTATTCATTGCTGTATCTGGACCTCCTGGAAACCAGTTCGGCACAGTACATAAACACAGGCTAAAATCATACTGCTGTCAATAGGACTTAAACGTATGGTTAAAATTAAACACGTGATGCATGGTATTGGATCTGGGCCTAACACATTTTTGAGAAGCAGGACACCAGTTGCCACGTACTAGTCCTACCTTGTAGTAACAAGCATCAGTGATTAGAGTAGGTGCAGACAGAGTAGGCTTCAGATTACTTCCATTATCCTTAATTGTGCAAAATTAGCATATAAAGTTTTACTTGCAAAATGATCTTTTCTCTGTATATCAAGCGCCATACCTTTCGTACTCTTAACAACTTATTGCTTTTGGACAGAGACTCCCAAGCTAACCCACGAAACATTTAAAGCGCTGAAGCCAGGACTCTCTGCTTATGCTGATGATGTTGATAAGGTAACAAAGCTTTTTTCTAATTACAAAAAGAGGCGTCTGCTAGAGAAACTCACTCTTTATCTGCTTTGCAAATGAGGCAGTGCTGAAGGTTGCTGTGCTGCAGTAGACTACACTTTGTAGTCTTTCTAATTCACGTGGATGGGAATGTGGGGTTTCCAAGCATTGACCAGCTTCCTGGTATGTCAAGCCCATGTGCTAAAAGTATCATTTTTGCTAACTGACTGGTTTTCATGACTGCCTTGAGAGATGTTTGTCTTCCTGGAAAAGGATGGAAACTGGTCATGTGCCATGTTTCATCCCTGTCGTGATTGGATGCAATTGGGAAATGTATTGATGAGCTAAACACAGTCAGTTAAGCCTCAGTTCAGGACTTCATATAAACACGTGCTTAAGCGCTCTCCTGAAAAGGGATTCTTGCTTGAATGTTATGTGGCCTTCTCCCTCCCGTCTCTGCACAATCTTCTATTCCGAGCCCAAAGCTAAACGGGACCGTTATGATCCTCGTATAACATGCACCAGAGAACTGCTACATCCATTCTGGCCATTTTCAAATCAGGTGATGGAGAATCCACTACGACTCTTTATAAGCTGTTCCACTGATTGATTATCCTGTGGAAGAAAAGGTACACCTTATTCTGCTCTTAATTTGTCTAGCTTACAGACTGTGGACAAGTCACCCATTAAACTTCAATTTGTTAAGCAAAATAGATTGAGCTCCTCGAATCCATTGCTATAAGGCAAGTGCTTTGATCATTCTCGTGGCTCTTGTCTGAGCTTCTCTGATTTATCAGCACTGTGTTTGAATTGTGAACACCAGACCTGGCCACAGTATTCCAGCAGATGGTGCAGTAGTGCCAGATCTATAAGTAGTATAACTAGAGCCCTACGTCGAAACAAAGTTTGTATCCGCTTTTCATCTGAGAGCCGCAATAAAGATCCATAGATATTTGTGGATTTATAGGGTCTAAATATAACCTCTCTGCTTACTTGAGATTTTCATATGCCCTGCTTCCAAATGTCTGTATTGCTTTTCCCTGGACTTACAGAGTGCTCAGGGGATACAAGAACTTCTAGAGGTTGCAAAGAATGAAGTTCCTGTGGAATTGTGGACGTTTACTCCTTTGGTCCTTAAAGCAACAGCTGGTTTACGGCTGCTGCCTGGAGAAAAAGCTAAAAAGTTGCTGAATAAGGTAATTCTTTTTCTTTAAACTTAATTTTCCATGACTTCAGAGCAGAATTTGGTCCCCAGTAGAATAGGCATAGTTTGCTTTTATTCTGCTGACAGTGTAAATATTCCATTTTCACACCATACTGTAACGATGCTCATTTGTTTATCACATATAGTACCCTATGTGCAAGTCCTAATGCAAGACCCTCGGTCCATTCCAAAGTGGGCAGACTTTATGATACTTAGTTTGTATAACTAACTTTCAGCTTTTTAGATCTGAAAGCTGTTGGTAAACATAGTTCATGTTAAAGATTTTTTTATTTTTAAATAATACTGTGTAGGTCTTTTAAAGCACTGTCAGATGTTCTTGGCAAGTAATATTTTTCCTACTATAGTTGACACTGTTGGAGTCAAGATTATAGGTGTGACCAGAATTATAATGAGATAGTATATTGTTAAAAAACAGCAGATTAATGATAGCTACAGAAAAGTCCACCCACTACTAACCCCAGCTTCAGAGTAACTAGTCTATGTATGAAATATGATTTAAACCAGTATTTTGGGCATCTTACATGTGAGTTGTCACATGCTGAGTTTATTTATAATGGAAGTTTGAGGCATTTTGAGCTATTGTCAGTGGTTCCGTTCTCTGGACATCAGTTCTTCCTGGTTGTAATCAGGGTCCTGTGGCTTTGGAAAGTCACTGACTGCTGAATTAGCCATGTAATAAATATGCTGATGCAGAAGAGTTCTGTTCAAATCAGCTTTCAGTTTTAAAATAGGATTTCTAGCCCTCATGATTGTGGGAATCCCCCCTTGAATGTGCATCAGTCCCCTATTTTCCAGAATTTGCAAGCAGCCTGAAACAGTGGTACTGAGAAAAATGTGAGTTGTCTCATTAAGCTCAATGTGTAGGCTTCAGCATCTAATGACAACTATTCCAGTACTGATCATTTTAGCCAGAATATCCAACCAATGTGTTTGGCAATCAGTGGTGGATGCTGGAGGATGACTAACTAGTTACAAAAGTGGTGAATTCTAATATAAAGCCTCTCCCCTATCCAAAAACATTGTTTACCTCTGTTCCAGACTCTCCCTCACTGGAGGTCAAAATCCCAAATTGCTTCTCATGCCTTCCTGGTACCCAGAGCCCCAGCTGCCCCGTCCTGGTCTGTCAAATACTCTAGGTTCCCTTTGACAGCTGCACCCAAAAGTTAGCAATACAAAAATCCGTAGCGCACTGAAAAGTGACAATTCTAGGGCAGGGATGTACGTGACTAGTCGACTAACCAATGAGCATATGTTTATCAAGTAGTCGAGTTACTACTCAACAAGTTGCTCCTATCAAAGGCAGCAAAGGGGGGAGTGGAAGCTGGCTTAAAAGCTGGTTTCCCCCAGCACTGTCTCTGTGGAGGGGCATAGAAGGAAGAGGTGCAGCAGGGAACCGAGCGTGAGTCGGGAATCAGCTGTTTCCTGGCTTGCGCCTGGTCCGAGATGCTGCCAGGTGGCTCTTACTCCATTTAAAAGGCAGAGCCGCAGCAGAGTTAGCTCCTGGGGGCTAACCCCACTGTGGCTGTACAGTTCCCCCCTTATCAACTCATTGAGTACTCAATGGAAATTCTGATTACTCAATTAGCTGATTAAACACAATTTAACACCCTTATTCTAGGGCAGGGTGGAATTGAACTTACCGTTAATGACTGTATTGTCCATTTCCAAATAGCATTTAGTTCAAACTGCTGCGGAATTTCCAGTCTCTCTCTCGAGAAGCCGCAAAAGCCAGGGGACCTTGGTGCGGAGTCTAGATCAGAGAACAGGGAACTTTGGTTTTAACTTCCAGTGTACTCAAGGCATTACTATGCCCATGAGTAGGGTGTTTCACTGGGCCGTTCTTACCAGTGTTTTTCTCCTGCCTTCCCCTTCACATGCACTGCCCTCTGGGCCCCACAGTGCAATCAGTCTCTGTCTGCCTAACGCAGACTAAACCATATTCCCTCCTAGACCCTCTCAGCTTTTGTTATCTATTGACCAGCACAAGGTGTCCTGGTGGGAAGGAATGCCCCTCTCTCTGCATCGCAGTGCACAACCATTGATTAGATTGATAACTTCCGAGAGTGCTTATTACAGCTGGATTCCAAGAGCTGGCCAGGCCGTGAGACTCCTCCTGACTCCAGGGCAGAGGCTCAGCACCGCTTAGGATCTGACTGTAGGGCAAGAAAATGTTGCACCACACACCAGTCCCCGTCTAGGAAAAAGCCTCCACTGATTTCTCTCTTCCTGTGCTTTTAGGTAAGAGACCTTTTCCAGGAGTCTCCGTTCTTCGTAAGGGACGACTGTGTCTCTGTAATGAATGGGACAGATGAAGGTAGGCTGAGTTCCTGTGGCTGTGGTTTAACAAAACTGCCCCAATCCTACTGCTGGACCCTCTGCTCCACACGTTGGATCCAAGTTGAGTCTCCACTGAGGCCAGTGGAAATGTGCACCCTGCGGATCTCTGCTAGCAGATCTCATTGCTAGGGTGAGGCCAGAGTTTGCTTCCATTTACGTGGCCCAAAATGGTGTTAACCAAACAGCTCCTGGGGCTTAAGGTTTGGCTCCTAAAAATAAGCAGCTTGATGTAAGTGCTTGAGTACCCACCAGCTGCAGCTGAGTCTGGGAACTCCTGTGTGCTCAGCACATCTGAACATCAAGCCACGTTGGCACCAAAATAGAGACGTGGAAGCCTAATGCCAGGCCCTTGCTCCTCAAGATCTTGCCTTTGAGCTGACCTCCGTGGACCGGGTTGGCTCAGGTGGTTAGTGCCGTCCAGTTCTGAACTGGAAATGTGCAAAGACTTTTTAGACAGTTATTTGTAATAGTCTCTCCTCGTGAAGGAAAGCTGACCAACTTTTTTGGAAGAGAATATGCAAACTGAGACTAACTAGGTTAGAATAGAAATAATGCTAAGGTCGGGTCCAAAATTTGATCTCATTTTTATAATTTTTTAAGGAAAATTGCCAAATTCTAAATACCCAGTAATGTGGTTAGTGCTGCTGAGACAATAAACTTTAAAATAGCTGTCTTTTCTGCAGGACGTCTTATTTAAAAAAGAAATGTCTCGAGCTTCCCAGCAAGAGCGAACACACACGTGCACTGGGTCTATTCCCTGAGGTGTGCTGATACTTTAAAATAATAGCTAACTATATTTTAAGTTGTTAAGACAAGGCCCGTTCATTTCTCTTTTATTAATAGGAATAGAAAATGTTTGTCAAGTGGGAAGAGAACATAATTTCCACAGTTCTCTAAAGTGCTTGGGAAAAGTAAAATTTCTTAATATTTCAAAGTAACTTTAGGAAAATGAAAACAAATTTAAGTGTAACAAAATTGAGTCCATGCAGTTCTGATGCCAGAGAAGGGTTGCCCCATAGCATGAAGGATCATGTATTTGTTGACATTTTCGCTAAAGAACAAAACCTTTAGAACAAAGCCTTTGCTGCTTATCCGCTGATATGTGTGATCTGTGAAGTAAAGTGGTTGCCAGGCACTTCATGCAGAGGAGCTGCCTGCCAGCTGGCTTGAATGTTATATCAGCTCTTTGGGATAGTGAGTATCTTTGTTCTGTGTTTGTACAGCACCTAGCACCATCGGGTCATGGTCTGGGGCTCCTAGGCACTACAGATGATTAGTAATAATGTAAGTGTTGGCTGCAGAAGCACATTCTCCATGTTTAAGGTCCCTAACCCAGGTTTAAGATTCTTGATTTTTGTTGGACATACTGTTTCTAGAGTCTGCAGTGCCTGAGAATCACACCTGCAAATTGGCAGAGCTCCATTGAGATCACTAGAACTGTGACCATTTATCCTGGAGGATCTGGCCCTTTATTTCTAGTCAAAACCAGTCACCTCTGGGTGTTTTCGTGAGAGAAAACTGCATGCTAGGAGAGGCATGTGACTGTGGGTCCCTGTGCCTGCTGCAGTGCGACCCAGTGTGCTAATCACTTAACCTAAAATCTGTCGCTGAACAGTTGGAAAGCACAGCTCTATTAAAAAGTAAATCTCTAGAGACCAAATCTTCAATCAGGAATGATGTGTATTACGGTGTCGCTGCGTGACCTTACTGTTGGATACAGGGTCTAACGGCGCGTCTTTCGGAAACGTTCTCTTCCCAGGAATTTCAGCCTGGATCACGATCAACTTTTTAACAGGTATGTGTGTGTATTTACCTTCTCAGATATCCTGCATTTGTTCAGCTTTCCTGTCTTCACTGTTACTCCACCCCCCTTTGAGTTTTACATAATGGGTGGAGAGTGGCCAGCGACCACCTCTGGCTGTATGTGAAATCTTGGCCCCGTTGAGCTAGGCTTTTAACAGGCTCCTTTTTCTGTCTCCCTGGAAAGACCAGAGCCTTTGATTAGAACACTTGATTCCCTCCCTGGGTGCCCTGTGCCCCAGGTGAGTCTCGAATTCAGGTACTTGATAGCTTCTTGGTAATCGCCCAGAACAGACAATTGAAGTAAGAATCTGGACTTGATCACAGTTACAGTCCTTGGTATTTATACCACAGGTGCCATTGTTCTCAAGCAGGCCGGGGAGTTCCACCGTGTGCGCGTGTGGATGGGGAGACACGAGACAGTGTGCAGTGGTGGGAAATAGACTGTTTCCAAATGGCTAGGAATAAGATTGCTTTCAATCCGAACACTCCAGTGCACAGCTGCAGCACAGCAGTTACGCCACTGACCTAGCATGGGCATTTCCCCTGTCGGAAAGGGGGTTAACCCACCTCCCCAAGAGAGAGTGGCTAGGTCAGTGGAAGACTTTCTTTCGATGTAACAGCGTCTGTGCTGGGCTGGGGGTAGAGTAACCTAACTCTGGCAGGTGGAGTGCAAAATTTGTCATAGCCCCGAGTGATGCAGCACGGCCGATCCACTGTTTAAGTGTAGACCAGGCCTAAGTGTCTCTTTGGAGAACGTTGGCTAAGGCCCGGGTTCTACAGGCTCCAAGTCCGAAGGTTTGCTCATGTAGCTAAAAGTGAATTGTGTTTTTAAGTCTTGGCAGGATCAAGGCCCTAATATTAGTTGTTTGAGGTTTTTGTGATTTTTTTTTTTCTTTTTTTCTTGTCCTAAAGATATTAGGGAAAAACACAATTTATTATTTCCATGCTATGAAAGGCTGTCTCTGTCCAGATGTAAAAACAACAGGTAGTCCTCTGGCACCTTAGAGCAGTGCTCTCCAACCTTTTTACACCCGAGATCACTTTATAAATGACAGACCAAGCCAAGATCTACTGTCCCACCCCTTCCTTGAAGCCCCGCCCTCTATTCTCCTCCTCTCCTCTTGCTGTCCCCAACCCTTATACTGCTGCTTTTTTTTTTTTTTTTTTTAAATTCTGTAGGAAGAGGTTTTTCCAACATTTGGCCTGAAATGGAGGCTGCCCCGCGCTCCAGCTGATCGGCGGCTTCCCCTCTGCACCTGCCCACGTGGAGCTTGGTGCACCCTGGCTGAGCGCCAGGGCCAGCTGGCTGGGCAGTCACTTCTCTTCGCTCCAG